GGAACCCCATCGGGCTCTGAGTAGACGAACCGACTGGATCGCCAGCGTGCTCGAAGAACCAAGAATGACCGACTTCGGGGACACGACCAGACGCTGCTCCTTGAGGCCTTCCACCAGCGAGGTGCCGACGTCGTCCACCACTGGCAGCACCTGGGTTGCCGTGCCCTCGCATCTTCCAACTGCGTCGCCCACGAACGCCCAGAGGCCCGCCGACGGGGCCACCGCGCGCACCTCCTCCAGCATGGAGCACAAGGCCAACTTCGATAAAGGGGGCCCGCGACGGGAGCCAGCCACGAAGCCCCTGGCGGGATAGATGGCCTCGCTGAGCCGCACTCGCTCAAGAAGGCGCCGCGGGCGAAAGTAGACCTGAAGCTCGAGACCCATGGCCGCCAGTCTGAAACCGAAGTCCAGGTCCGCCCGCAGCAGCCCCGCCAGCGACGCGCTGTCGTTGAACTTTTCGACGTCGAGGAGGATGACCAGGAAGCCGAGCTGCTGGCCCTGCGCAGCCTCGCCCATGCCGGCATTGAGCAGGGCCGCCCTGAGGGCAGGCGACTCTCGGATAGCTGCGTCCCAGAACGCTTCGCGCTTGGGGCACCACAGGTTGGCGAAGCTCTGCAGGATTCGCAACCAGAACTTCACCGCCAGGGGGACCAATCCAAGGACGCGATCGCCGTCACCCGAAGGCAATGGGGCCAGGGCGGGGGGCGCGGCCGCCACCTGCAGCGGCCAAACCATCTGTCTCTCGCACTCCTGGGGAGATCGCACAGACCTCGCAGACCAGCCTCAGCTACCCGATCCAGACCTCCAGCTCCAAGCCCGTCGACTCCATGCGCCTTCTTCCAGCCCGCGACATGTGCGCCTGCGAGCTGCTCCAACCCGAGAGGCTGGATCTCCTCCTCAGCAGCTCGTCGTCGCATTTTCAGCACGTTGACACGGTCATTCTGGGCATCGACTGCATCTGTCCGCACAATGCGCCACGCATCCGATTTGCGAGCCATGAAGGTGGCAGGGTCTCCCACCGACGTCGTCGCCATCGAGGACGTAAACCCTTGACGCAGCGGCGCAGAGCTCCAGGCGAGGTCCTCCACGCCCTCCGAACCCATGCGGCGCTGGCCCTGCCGGAACGCCCGATGCCTCGAGCCACCTCGCATGATGCTACCATCTCAACAACAACCACCTCCTGACACACGCCCATGACGACCAGGTCGCTGGCGAGCTGGTCGTGCCCAACTTAGATGGCCCGCAGGTGATCAAGCGCCACGCGCGCGGTCCTTCTAACGCAGGGCGCTGGTCCAAGTGATACTGCCTCAGAAAGTAAGCCACGCCAGCCGCCTGACCCAACAACTCGAAAATGGCGCCCCATCCTTGTCACGAAGGAAGGGGGCCAGAACACGCCTGCACAGAGTATCAAGGATCGCCCAATGCTCAGCTCCATCAAGCTGCCGGTGCGCACGACCAGGAGATCTCACGACATCTCCCATCTGACACCGCAGCCGTTGCAGCGGCAGCTGAACGCCTTGCCCTCCTCGGGGGCCGCGCGGCGCCCAGCGCGGCAGCCTCCACGCGAGCCACCCGTTCGCCGCGGGCGACCGACAGGCGCTGCCGCCCTTGGAGACTCCAGGCTACTACCAGCGACTCAGCCACCGCCGCGAGCTCCAAGGCCCACTGGAAATACGCCCGATGACACACGTTCGCCCCCCCAGAGCTCGAGCGAAACAAAGTGCTCGCCCCGTGGCCCCTGGGGCTCTGCGGGCCCGATGATCTCGAGACACGTCCTACTTCCTCCTTTCCAAAGCCGCCCGCCAACGCGCGCGCGACTTGCCGGCGGGCCGAGCGATGGCCATTAGCGGGCGAGGGAGTAAAAGGGCACGGCGCGGCCAAACCGTCGAGGCTTTTTTCACGTTGACATGAAGTCTGCAGCGCAATTTCCAAGGAATTGCTGCAACTCCCTTGACCGCGATCAGCTCCGCCACGCCAGCGGGCGCCACCACGTAGTCGATGAGAGAGCCTGGGCCCTCATCGCACGCGATTCCGAAGCCAGGGAGAACGACCCCCCCCCGACGCCCCTGAGGAAGGCGCCGCGCTTCAACGCAAGCGGGCCCAAATTCCAATCAGCAGCGCTACACCATGGGTCCGACACTGGAGACAAGAAGGCTCGCAGCGAAGCCCATCTCCCTGAGCTTGCTCCTCCGAACCCCTGCGCCGGGAGAAAACACGCTGAAATCACAATGAGGTTGCCAGCCTTGGGGCGCCAAATTGTGGGGACTCATCCTCGACGCGGGCCCTGACGCAGTTCCTTGACCAACAAGGCCCGATCCTTCTCCAGGGCGTTGGCGGCAAGATGACAAAGCGAGAGGGTCCTCTCTCCTCTGCGATTGCCTTTCTCTGAGCGACCTGCGCCAACTGCTCGGCACGCTGCCAATTTCCACCCATCAAAATCCAAGCTCGAGCGAAATTGGTGGAGGCGATATTGCGCGACGTGCGTCTCAGCAGACGCCATCACCCCGTGCCGAAACCTATTCTCCATTGCATCGTCGCGAACGCGCGGGGCCCACTCGGCGACGCCAGCGAAGAATAAGTTCGCTACCGTCGTCTCCTGCTGGGGTCCGCCCTTGCTGCCCTCAACGCGCATCGCCAGGTGCTTGGAAGTATCATCCACGCCCACTGAAGAACCACGCACGATGCCATCTCCACCCCGCGCGTCGCCCTTCTTCGCGGATCCAGGCAAAATCGGTGACGCTGAACCTGAAGCGCGCCCCATAAAGGGGTCTTCAGGATTCGCTCTAACGCCTGAATCCAGTGGCGACGGTGAATTTGACCGTTTCCCACAGCGGCTTCCTCCGGCTTGCACGAGAAGCAGGTTTCGTCACACTTCGAGCCCGTCCAGGGCGAGCCGAAGGACCCGCTCGGCGCGCAAAAACTTCTCCGAGCCGTAGAAGTTAGCCCGCCTGAGGCGCAAGTGGGGGGTCGAAGGAGTCGGCGTCGCAGCCTGCGCGGGCCCGCTGACGGCATCGCCCGCGTAGATCACGCCCTCGCAGGGATCGAAGCCAACATCCACGGCGCTGGGGCCCACGCCCCCCATCGCGCCGCCGCCCTCCCAGGCTCGGGAGGGGCGGCCTGGGCGGCAGGACCTGGGGGAACGCCAAGAGGGCTGCCGGCTGCCTTGGGCGGGGCGCCCTCGGGGGCAGCGCTGACCGCCGCCCGATCGAGCTGGGCCCTCGCCCCCCTGGCCCGCCTCGCTCTGGCCGCCGCCCTCGGGCCCTCAGCTTGGAGCTCAGCCGCCGAGTCCGCCGACGCCGAGCGCACTGCAGCTGCACTCGGCGCCCCCGGCGCAGCACCTCCCGCGGCAGAGCGCGGCGTCGCCTGCCCGGGGGCCGCCATCGCTGTCCGCAGAGGTCGAGGCGCCACCTCAGCCCGCGCCTCAGGCTCACTCTCCATGCGACGCCACTGAAGTGAAGCCTGAGCCTCCAGACACTTCATTCACCCCCATCGGAGGCGCGGTGGCCCTGGTCGACAATGGGCTTCGCCTGGTCCTTCGTCTCCCCCAGGAAGGCGACGGCGGCCTGGAAATTGTTCCTGTCCTCGGCGTCGAACACATCAGCGGTCGTCTACGACTTAGACATGTCCAGGTTCGTGACACATGATCGGCTGTTCCTGATGTACATCTACGGCGAACAGTGACAGGGGATCTTGCCGCTGCTGCTGGACAGCCCTCGCTGGGCCCTCCGACTGGTTGCAGGCCATTCCCCGTGGGCCTCCTCTGCCTCCGCCAGCTCTTGGGCAGCATTGCCGCAGTCATCGCGCGCCTTCTCGAAACGCAGCCCAAGAGCATTTCCGCGAAGAAAGTTGTGTGCGCGCGCGTCGCCGCCTGCTTCGCCTTGGTCTCCGTGGACTGGAGCTGCTCCAAGAGCGCGCGAGACTTGGCGACCAGCAGGGCCTCCGCTGCGTGCTAGATGGCCAGGACTGACTCCGTAACCGAGGGCTCGCGCTGCGAAAGGGCCTCAGGCTGGCTGAAAAAATCGTCTTGCCCCACGGGGTAAGGATCGCAGGCGGCGCAGCGGCAGGGTCAGCACTTCCCCCTTTGCCCTGCTCGCGACCACCACCCGAGGGGTACTGCACCTTCTCATGGCTCTTCTGGTAGAGTGGCTGGTTCTGCCCACGGACTTTGCAAGCTCCTCCATTCTTCTCAGCTCTCCAATTCTAATCCCAGTGCCCGTTGGCCTTGCACGACGGAGTAGTGCATGACATCCGTTACTTGCGAGGCGGCGCCATGCTGCTGCTTGCACACTGGCCGGCAGGAAGTGGAAATGCCTCGGTTTACCCACCGCCCAATGCACTTGGAAAGTGGAACGACAGTAGTACCCCGACAGGAGCTCACCAAGAAACTGGGTCTGGCCGCGGAACAGCGGTATCCACGTCGTTCCCACGGAAACAAACAGTTTGAGCCAAAATTGTTACAGAAGAGGCCAGGCGCAGGGGAACACGAAGCAGGAGGAGTTGACGAGGGGGGAAGATAGTGGATCAGGAGTCGGATAAGGATAAGATTCATGCTCGGAGTAATTACGGGGATGGCTCTACAGCGTCCAGAGCGACAGGGCGCACCCAGACTGGGAAAGATGTATCGGGCTCTGCCGTGGCCGCCGCTCGCTTCGGGCGGAATATTTTGTTTGTCAGAGCCCCCGCCAGGCTTCCTTTCGCTCTGGCGGAGTGGCGGGGTATAGCTGTCGTGGTATTCGCATATTGGCGAAACGGAATGGGAAGTCGAAGCAGAAGGGGAGCAGGAGCAGGAGGAGAGCGAGAGGAAGGGAGAGAGGGGGAGCAAATGAGATGAGGAACGGGAGGAGGCGTTTGGGGGGGTGGGGGTTGGCACGAATCCGCAGAGGTGTTTGTTGACCCCCGCCCGTGGGAAGCTGCGCCGAGGACCGCAGAGGCAGTCACCACGGAGACGACCACTGTAAGTGCATACAGCGAGTCGTGGGTCTGCGACGAGTGCTGCTGGAATGTTGAGGACGGCATACCAACGAAAAGAAATGGTGACCACGTTTCCCAATATCAGAATTGCTTCCATCTCCGAAGTGTGTTGTTGTTCTTCGTGGAATCAGACCGCCTCATTCCTCCTCCCCCCTTCCCCCGATACTATTCAGGCGCACCCACATCCGCACCCATTCACAGTCACCCAGACCCAGACCCGTTCATTATCGGACGCACTCGCGCTCAGACACACCCATGCCCAGACCTAGTCAGACCCAGGCTCGGTCATACTCAGCCTCAGTCGCATTCAGGCGCACCCACACCCGGCCTCACCCACATGCAGACTTCGCATACTATGGCCACACGCGCTCGGACCTGCGAATGCACATACATCATAGATTACCCTTTCTGGTGATGGGGACGCCATATGTGATAATCATTGGACGCGCAAGTCAACGCACAAGTTGACACCCAGCTGAATATTAAGGTTGAGTTTCATCTATCCATATTTATGTATAGCATGTGTATATAACTATAAGTATATGTATCTGTATAAATATATGTGTATGCGTCTGTCGGTCCATCATTCTACCTGCTGGTGTATCAGGAGGCCTGCCTGTGTGTCCACGCGCACGTCTACCTCAATGTCGTTACATATATATACATATATGTATATTCATAAAGGTGTCTGTATGTGTAGCTGCCAATTTGTCTTTCGTATATACCTATGTGTGGGTAATATACCTGCCGGTCTGACCGATCAGTCCCAATTTCCATTCACCGCTCCCACTATCAATATCTCCGTAAGGGCTTGCCGCTGGCCTCCTTTCTAGCAGAATGGGATATAGAAGAGCTGGAGCAGGATTTATTAGCGCTGTCTTGAAGAGATGCTGATGTTGACGCCAATTATAATAGTGATGGAGATACTGCTCATGATGCTGCTGCGGGCGCTGGTGTTGAGATGGTGAATGTAATGCTGATGGTGATGAAGATGATGCTGGGGACGCGAATACGGCGTAATGCACGTAGGATCGTGGCTTCGAGGACGCAAATATGGCGTAATGCACGAGGGATCGTGGCCTCGGGGACGCGAACATGTTGTAATGTTCGAGGGATCGCGGCCTCGAGGATGCGAATATTGCATCTGTTATAAAAATCGCGGCCTCAGGATTCCAAATGTGCGATAGATGATTGCTTCGGGGTCGCGAATATAGCGTCATCTAAAAGAGTTTACGGCTTCGGGGGCGCAGACACTATATGATTTACGATGGGCCGTGGCCTCGAGGACGTGAACATACTATAATGTACTAGGGTGTATGGCTTCGGGGACGCTGTTATTGAACAGAATACACCGGATTCTGGCCTCGAGGACGCAATTTTTGAACAGTGTCTTACCGATGATGGCTTCGGGGACGCGAACACAGCGCAATTTGCCAAAATTACGGCTTCGGGGGACGCGCATAGCTCATAATTCTCGATGGATTATGATGTTGGGGATGCGAATACAATATAATTCACGTGGGTGTATGGCTTCGGGGGCGCAAGTTATCATATGATGTGCAAGCGAGTGTGGTTTCGGGAACGCAGTTGTTGCGTAATGTACGAGGGTGTATGGCTCGGGCACGCAAAAATCATTATTTTCGAGGGAGTATGGGTCCGGGGACGCGAATACAGCATACGTCACGAAGGTTGATGGCCTCGGGGATGCAAATATGATGCAATCCTCCTCCACATCCTCCTCCTCATCCTCGCTCTGAGGACGACGAGCCCTTCCTGCACAACCCCGGATACATGGACTGCATGTCGATCTACGGCCACCGCGAGTGGAAGAGCGGCTTGTGGATCCCGGAGGGCGGCGACTGCCCCACGTGCACACCTTTCTGCGGTTGCAGGTGGTGTGGTGCGGAGGAGGGGTGCGTTTCGGATGCGACGGCAACGGATGCGAATATCTATTTCTCGGTGCCTGCCTTTGTCGTGTTGTTCCGGGAGAGCCTCGAGGTCGTTTTGGTCTTGGTCATCATTTTGCAGTTCCTCCAGAAGAGCCAAGCGAATGGGACCATCTCGACCGCGCAGCACACAACTTTCCGGCGTGAGGTGTATGTTGGAGCCAGCATTGGTTTCCTTGCTTGCGTTGCGTTCGGTGTAGGCATACTTGCTCTGATCTCGTTTGCCCTCAAGGACGTCAAAGGCGAGACTCACTTGATATTGGAAGCCGCTCTGATGCTGATCACGTCGTGCATCCTCAGCTTCATGGCAGTGAACTTCTACAAGATGATGTACGCCAAGGAAGCTCACGAAAGAAAGTTGGCTAAGATCATGGAGCAGACGCTGGAAGCTAGCACCGCTGCACAGGATGAAGCTGGACAAACGAACGCTTCCTTCGCCAAAAAGCACACGTTCTTCATGTTTGCATTCATGACCGGGTTGCGTGAAGGCTTGGAGTCGATCCTCTTCTTATCCGCCATCGTGGTTGACGCGAAGGCCATCATCTTCCATCTTGCCCCATCTACAGCCCACTCCTACCCAAAGAGCATGCTGCTCCCCGTCCCTTCTCGTCTGCCGCCCCTCCTCCCTCCTCGTGCTCTGGGTGCTGTTGCTGCTCCGTGTCGTCGCCTCCCTCCTGCGACCGCTTTTCTTCGTCCCCCTCTCTTCTCCTCCCTATTCTCCCTCGTGCTCCTCGCGCCGTCCTATTTCTCCTCCTCCTCCTACTCCTCCTCCTCCTCCTCCTCCGTCCTCCTCCTTTCTCCCTTTATCCTCTCCTCTCTGGTCCTCGCCCTTCTCCTCCTCCTCCTCCAGGACCTGTCCTCGCTCCCGATCCCCATCATCAGTGCGATCATCCTGGCCCGGATCGTGGGCTGGTTCTTCTTCACAGGGACAAAGAGGAGTGTCTCCTCCTGCGCCTCCCCCCTCATCGTCCTCGCTCTCCCGCTCCTCATCCTCGCAGGATGCCCGTGGCTGTGTTCATGAAGTTCTCTGCGGTACTCCTGCTATTCATTGCGGCCGGATTCTTCTCCATGTCCACGCACAATCTCCAGGTGTTGCCTTCCTCCTCCCCCTCCTCCTGCTCCTGCTCCTCCTCCTCCTCCTCCTCCTCCTCCTCCTCCTCCTCCTCCTCCTCCTCCTCCTCCTCCTGCTCCTCCTGCTCCTCCTGCTCCTCCTCCTCCTCCTCCTGCTCCTCCTCACCCTGCTCCTCCTCCTGCTCCTCCTCATCGTCGTTTCTCGCTTCCCCCGCGAGCGATGTTCAGGAGCTCGGCGTGTTCGGGACGTGGACCCCGAGAGAGGAGCGCCCGTGGCAGAACTCGAGGCCGGACGCCGACATAGAACCGTCCCTTGGCCCAAGGGCGTCCCTAGCTTCGGGCAGTTCTTTGGCAGTGCCAAGGGGGGTCACCACCTCCTCCTGGAAATCGAAGATCGAGGAAGAGAGAGAGAGAGAGGGAGAGGGAGAGAGAGAATCGAGGATGCAGGTTTTGTTCACGTTTGCGGGAGTCTTTTGGGGAGGCGATCCCCCTTGGCGCTGCATGGGGTTCTGGGCGACTCGGGCGCCCTTGTGAGGAGCTCGTCCCCAGAAATCCGTTTGCTGCGACACAACCACGACGGAGGGTTTTCGGCCAGGGGGAACTTGCCAGGCCCTAGGGCGGTCAAGAAGCGGCCCGTGATGAGAAAACCATCCCGAGTGAGAGGTCGCTGGGTCTGTCCGTATCCATATCTTGAGCTCCGCGAGCTCCTTTGCGGCACATGTTTCACAATGGCGGATGTGAGTGATTCCCCGGCGTGGAGCATCGGGCGATTTCCAGGCTGGACATGCCAAGAAGGGTGCCTATTCCACGGCTTCGGTCCCAGGAGCCTTTTCCAGGCCCCGAGATGGACAACAAAAGATCCAGGACGAAGGGCCAATGTTGGGGAAGGGCTCGCGAGCTCGGAGGTCTCGGCCCAGGGCCGCCAGGGACACCTTGGCGCCAGGGTCTCTTTTCTGTGGGCGCCCGGCGAGGGTGTTCGATGCCAGGGCGTGTTGCGACGACATGGGGAACAAGTTCTGGGTGCTCATGCGGGCCATGTTCGGCTGGCAGGATCCCAGTGGTCCGCTGAGGGGGGGGCACGGCTAAAGGCGGAGGAGAGAAGGGTAAGGATCTAGTCGTTGGGAGTCTGCTGGTCAACTTTTGCTGAGTTGACCGACCCCCGGCTTAATTATCCTTGCGAAAGACCCAACCTTATACAGCTGTGAGTACCGCGTTGTGGGTACCGTTTCTGGTGGAGCCCCCTGTATGGGGTCAACGAAACGCGTGAGGGGTGTGCATGCGGCCGCGGTCACCAGGGCGTTCGGTGGAGCTCCCTAGGGGGCCACGAAGCGCTGGACTGGGTGGGGGAGATGCATGCGACCGCGGCCACTGGGGCCTTCGGCGGAGCTCGTTATCGGGCCACGAAGCGCTGTACTAAGGGGGGGTGAGCGCATGCTGCCGCGGCATTTGGGGCTTTCAGTGCAGCTCCTTATGAGGCCACGGAGCGCTGCACTGTACGAAGGAGACGCATGCGGCCGCGGCCATTGGGGCCGTCGGCGGAGCGCCCATGTGGGGCCACGAAGCGTTGGGTGAAGAAGACGCATGCGGCCGCTGCCAGTGGGGCCTCTGGCGGAGCCCCCTATGAGGCCACGAAGCGCTGGACTGGGTGAAGGAGACGCATTCTGCCGCGGCATTTGGGGCCTTCGGTGGAGCTCGTTATCGGGCCACGAAGCGCTGTACTAAGGGGGGTGAGCGCATGCTGCCGCGGCATTTGGGGCTTTCAGTGCAGCTCCTTATGAGGCCACGAAGCGCTGGACTGGGTGGGGGAGACGCATGCGACCGCGGCCACTGGGGCCTTCGGTGGAATTCCCTAGGGGAGCATGAACCGTTGTACTGGGTGTTGGAGACGCATGCGGCCGCGGCCACTGGGGCCTTCGGTTGATTTCACTATGGGGCCACGAAACGCTGCATTGGGCGGGGCGGTCGCATGCGAGCGTCGCCGCCGAGGCCTTCGGCGGGTCGCCCTGGATGGCCACGAAACGCCGTACTGGGTGACGCGGGCGCATGCCAACGTCGCCTCTGGGGCCTTCGGTGGAGATATACATGAGGCCGCTCAACGTTGTACTGGGTGGTGCGCACGCATACCAACGTCGCCTCTGGAGCCTTCGGTGGAGCTCCCTATGGGGCCGCGAAACGCTGTCCCGGGTGTCGTGGGCGCATGCCAACGTCGTTATTGGGGTTTTCGGTGAAGCTCCTGATAGGGCTCGAAACGCTGTAATGGGTGGTGCGGACGCATGCCAACGTCGCCTCTGGGGCCTTCGGTGGAGATCCCTATGGGGCCACGAAGCGCTGTGCTGGGCGGCGCGGACGCAGGCCAACGTCGCCTCTGGGGCCTTCGGTGGAGTTCCCTATGGAGCCGCTAAACGCTGTCCTGGGTGTCGCGGGCGCATGCCAACGACGCCACTGAGGCCTTGAAACGCTGTACTGGGTGGCGCAGACGCATGCCAACGTCACTTCTGGGGCCTTCGGTGCAGCTCCCTAAACGGCCGCGACACGTTGTAATGGGTGGCGCTGACGCATGCCAACGTCTCCTCTGGGGCCTTCGGTGGAGATCCGGAAGGGCCGCGAAGCGCTGTATTGGGTGGCGCGGATGCATAGCAACGTTGCTTTTGGTGCCCTCGGTGGAGCTCCCTATGGGGCCGCTCAACGCTGTCCTGGGAAGCGCGGTCGCATGCCAACGACGCCCCCGGGGCCTTCGGAGGAACAGTTATGGGGCCACGAAGCGCGTGAGAGGTGCGCCGACATGGATGACATGCGGAGGGCAGAGGAAGGGATGGAAGGGTGGGAGGAGGGGGAACAGAGAGGGGAAGGAGGCACGGGGCACTGTCTCTTCAAAACGAGGATCCATCACAACAGGATGGTTAGGAAAAATTGGTGCGTACCCTGAACGCTGCTACGCGGCAAGGAGATGAGGAGGGAAGAGGAGAAGAGGAATGGAGGAGGGAGGAGGTGAACTCGTGTTTTGATTGCCCCCTTGTCCGGCCGTCGTGACCACGGCAAGCGCAGCTCGAAGACACCCATGAGGCTGCATGCTGGGGGGTGCTCCGGAGGTCGGTTTTAAGAGGAAGCGGGGCGACAGTAGCGGCCTGCTGAGAGGACACGCCACTCCTTAGGATAACTCCCGCCTTCCAGAAGATCTTCATAGGAGCTCCCGAGATCGTGACCACTGCAGGGCGCAGTTCGAAAAACAGTCATGGCTGCACGCTGGGGGAGCTCTGGAGGTCGGTTGTGAGGGAAAGCGGGGCGAGAGATTGGCGGGGACCACACAGGGCATACCGCTCTTGAGGATCCATCCCGCCTTGAGGCCTTCATGGAGGCCCCCGAGATGGGGCAGAGACCCACTGTGCGAGACCCCCCTGCCTCCCGAGAAGTTGCCCTCTCGAAATCGGCCTCTGGAGCCAGAGAGCTCTGCCGGAGTGCGTCCAGGCAAGCTGCTCGGGCCGCGCCCCGCCGTGGCCGGCAGGCAAGTCCTTAAGCAGACTCCCGCCTCACCCCCTGCTGTGGAGGTCGATGAAGAAAAATTATCGGAGGTTGATGGAACTTTACAAAAGGGAGGTTTGTCCACTGCCGACAGTCGTACAAACATAAATAATCGGAGCTCCGCGCGGATGTCTTGGGTCGGCGCCCAGGCCCCACTGGCGGCGCCTCTGGCGCCGCCCCGGGCGCGCTCCGCGCACCAGGGAGGGGGTCCCAGCGCCGACCCAAGAAACCCGCGCGGGCTCCCAAGAGATTATGTTTATGCCGCTTGATGTTCCTCGACAGCTGGCACGAGGATTCAGAACGATCATACTTTGGGAGGGGCACCCTTGTGTTCTTCGCCGTTGCGCTCTCCACCTTGGAGTACTCTTCGTTTGGGATACCTCCATGGAGCCTTGGGCTCTCGGCGAAGGGGCCCATGTTCTTGATCCACATTCTTGTGACCTTGCTTCGATTATACTGAGCGCTCTGACCACTCGCGGCAGGAGCCCCGTCCAGACCCAGGGGGTGGGGTACGTGGGGATGGGGGAGCGCCGTCCCGAGGGGCAAGAAGGGGAATTCGCAGCCTCTTGGTAGGTCAGGGAACGCGGAGAATGCAGCAAGTGTTGAGGAGATTACGGTGCACCTTGTCTATACTCTCATAGATTTGCCTTGGCAGAAGCCCTTCCTAAGGATCCTTAGAGGGTGGTCTCAGGGCCATGTATTGTTCCGATGAGGCCAAAACCCCCCTCGACACAAAAATGGTCTGGACGTCCGTGGCTTGGGGGGGCTGGGACAGGGAGGGACAGTTTGCGCCCAGCGAGCCGCCCTCAGGCAGGTTGCGTTTTTGTCCCGGCCCATAACCTTCCCAACACAAGCCCTTCTCGCTCGAGCGCGAAGTTCGTTCCGCCGTGTGCATTGTGCGCAAGACGCTGGGGCCGAATCGGACGCCGCCGCGATATCCGCTGGGGCCCGCTGCGGTGCACTCGTGTGCGCCGGTGGCCTCGGTGCCCAATCGTTCGCCTCCCGAGCCGCTAAGCTCCAGGGCGGGCGGGGAGGCACGGTCTCCACCCTCGGCGGGCGACGGGCACGCTGTGCGGCCCTCTTCCTCGGCGAAGCTCCCGGCCAAGGGGCTTCCTCGGCGAGTCGCCTGCCGGGCGCAGGCCCATTGGGCCTCGCCAGCCCGGTGCCGGCCGTTACCTCCAGGGTCGGACATTCGGGTGCAGTGTTCGGCGTTGCGGGGTGGGATTTTCCGCAGCGCTTGTGCGCGCAGACCCGAGTCGCCCAGCGCTCCCCGTGTTCACCCTTCCTCTCCGAGCCCGAATCCCAATCAACACTTGAAAGGCTTGACTCTCTGAGCCACTGAGCACCTGCGCCCAGAGGGCTGGTGGGATTTCCCGTTCGCTATTGCGGGGCGAGGGCCCACACGACCGATTTCGGAAGCGCGCCCGCACGATGCGCGGTACTCTGCTCGGGATTCTTGTTTCCCTCATGCAGTGGCCAGTCAAGCTTCCCCGAAGGGCAAGCAGGGGATTGGAAGGTTTCACTTTCTGAACCACGGAGAACCTGCGCCCCGAGGGCTGGTTGGAGCGTACCCTCCCCGCCTCCTCTCGGCGGCGAGCGAGGGAGGAAGTGAGAAAGAGAAGGCCTTCTCAGAAGGCGGCGGGACTTCTCAGAAGCCCTCACGTCTTCTGAGAGGTTGTTTGTGTCTTCCGGGAAGGCTTTGAAAACTTCTCAGAAGGCCGGGAGGCTTCCGAGCCTTTTGAGAAGGCCTTCTCCTTCTCATTTCCCCCCCTCGCTCGCCGATCCTCGTCCTTCCTCCCTTTTCTTCGCCATGGGGGAAGCAGGTCCTGAGGGAAGCGGGCCCCGAGGTTTCCCCCCCGTTGTCGAGCTATCGAGGCCTTTCACAGGCCCCAGGACTGTCAGAAGACGGTTCCGGATGAAAAACCTGTCTTGGGGGAGGGCCCCGGGGTCCAGGACCCGTTTCCCTCAGGACCCGTTTGCCCCATGTTGACTCTCCCCCCGAGGAAGGGCAGACAAGTGGAGCCCCTGGCTCGGCCCCCGCACATCCCCCAGATTCGACAGTTGTCTGTGAGCGTTGGGCAGCACAGGCGAGTGGACAGCAAAAAGAACAGTGGAATCCCCTGGGCCCGCGCGAATCCGAAGCCAACTCTGAACCTGGGGCAGGGACTTTTTGGTCCTCCTGCGGCCAATCCTCCTCGGCAGCGGCAACCGCATCGCGGCTGCGGCTGCACTGAGTCTGGTAGCCCATCGCATTTGGGGCCATCATGTCGGGCCGGCCAGGGGCAACGACAGCGTGACGACCGAGGTCCCGGCGCTCCAGCTCTCTCTTTCTATTTGGGCTCCTCCTTGGCCTCCAGGGCTGCTCGCGGCAGCTCCCGCACTGTTTCTGCACCTGTTTTCACCCACATGATGCTGCACGCAGCCTTGTTGTTTTGCTGCCCCCCCCTGCAGGTAAATGGTGGCTCAGCGCGCACCAGTCCCTCGAATCCGGCGGCGCGAAACAATGCATCGTCGCAGGAAATCGCGACCGTGGCCCTAGGCCCAAAACTTTCTGCGGCATTCCTCGA